GAAAAAAATAAATTAAGCCTCAGAAAAGGGACACTGCCCGTTAATGCTTTCCTTGTGCCGGACTGAAACTCACTCTGACAAGTGGGGCTAAAACGTGTTCTGGTAATTGCTTCTTTCCCCAGCACAGCTGAGTAATTGCTCTGCAACTTTGCCCTCCCGGCACACACACAGAGTTATTATCATGATGTGATCCCAAAGTGACACCTAGACCCAAAGAGCAACGTCTTATAAATCCTGCATTCAAGAAGAATTGGGAAAGATTACCAAGAGAACTCAGTCTTCAGTTTATAGCAGCAGCACCTTTGGCTTTCATCCAGAAAGGAAAGAAACACATATAGAATACCATCAGAACTTATGCTCTATCTTCTCTCTCTAGACACCAGTCCACGCAGCCAAACACAAGTGATCCAGATATTTTGGCTCCAATCACAAGAGCAGGAGAAATGTCTTTCTGGATCAAATAGCTTATAACATCAGGTCATCTGTGAAAAGATAGGTTCCTCCTCTCTGATAATACCAATTTCAAAAGAGGAAAGCTGACTCTGAAACACCCCTAGATTTCCTTTCCTTAGTTGAGCTAATATGCATCTAAAATTGTTCCTTTTCTTCCTAACTCCTTCCTGATTTCATATGCATTTTCAGATTGTACCCACCTCTTGAAGTTCCAAAAGATTATTAAGCCTGCTATGATAAATAATGTCTCATTTGTTTGCCTTAACCTCTTTTTTGATGACTGGCACAGTGGTAAGCACACAGAAGATGTCTGGGGAAAAGTGCATACCAACTTGACCTGGCTGGATTGGAAATATACAAGGTGTGATACCTAAATATAAATGTATCACCTGACTGGTTCCCCTTGACTGGACTCCTCAGGATGCCAACCTGAGTTTTTGGCTTTGAAGGGGAGATGAGCACATGATATCTGGGTCTCTTGGCTTTTTTAATATTGACTCTAAAAGAGATGAGACAGGATTCCACTGGCTTCGGAATATGGTTCTCAACAATGAAACTGACCAAATTCCTCACAATATGGTATAAAGCCATCTGGAAAATAAATGGGTTGATCTTGCTTCAATCTATTCTAACCTCACTTTCCTAGGAAAAGTGAGGGGATCATAATCTTTTCTCTGTTCCTTTTATCCTCAGTAGACATCAAGCCCTCCACATGTCCTGCTGCTCATTATTGAGAATTTCTCCTTACTTTCTATGGCCAATCAAGTAATATTTAAACTCAGAGAAGGAATCTGGGATAGGTCATTTATAACTGTGAAGCTTCGGGAGACTGTTTGAGGGACAAATTCTAAGACCATCAAGGGACAATCACCAAAAATCCCAGACTAAATTATGTTTATCCCCAAGCCAAACCATCTGTCACCAACTAAATGTTGAACTGCATATATATGAGCCAATACTCAGGCTTAAAGTAAAGAAATCTATGTTATAGTAGTTTTCTCCCTATGAGAATATCTACTCCACAGACTCACTATTCTTTAAGTAATATCTTAGTTAAGAGAAAAACTCAGAAAGGTACATGCATGCCTTGATAACATTGATTTTCCCCCCTTCCTGAAATATCCAATTCCATTCAATGGCTGAACAATAAGATATCTGCTCCTCCTGGCTCAGAAATGCAGACAACATTTGACACTAATGTTTGTTTTCCCTCTGCTGCAGTCACAGCTTATCGCTCCTATTTGATGGTAGGTAGACCCACTACTTTGACTTATTCTGTTACTTATGTGACAAAGGCTGACCCACCAAGGTCAGTGGTTGGATGTCATCCATCATGTTGCCAATATGTCTGCCATGATTGATGGGAATGATATACTGCAGGGTCCCTGACTTCTGTTACTGTCACGTTTTTCCCTCTCATCCACACCAGGACTGGAGCTCTCAGGTACTGTGCCACCCATCTAATGGTCCTCTGATTACAGTGGCTCAAGAATTGGAGTGCTTTTACAGAACAGTGGGATACAAGGCAGCCCAGGACTAGTGTTCTTGCTCTCTCAGAAGTGTGCTGACATGTCAGACCTAGGGCGAAAACTACTGAGTAGTAATCCTTTGCTTGAGTGTAAATGTGGATGATTTTTTACCCAAATCCATAGCCCTAATAAAGAAACACACCCCAAACATTAAAGCCTGGATGGTGTGAGCAAGCCCATTAAAGTAACCTCAAATTTTTAGTGAAGTTAGCAATAGATCGGTGAATTTTATAGCTGAAAAATGAAAAAGGAATAATCTTCTTGTTTTTGTAGATAACATGCAGTCTTACAGACATGATTAAAATCCTAACCTTCGGTCAATAAACACAATACTCTTGATTTTCAAGCTTTTCCTCCCGGCAAATCTGACAACTCCAACCCAGGCAGAAGCAGCACAGAAGTCGATTATGGGGAAAATGCAACCGGACTGTGTGTACACTTTCTCTTCATCGTCTTCTCCTTTTAATCAATAGCACACCGAGTCTCCAGCTTCTATTGAATTAGGTTTACAAAGCTTTTTTGTTCTCACCTGTCGCTAAGAAAAATCATTCATGGCATCCTGGATCTGAACTAGCGGAGACTGCATGAATCAAAAAGGTAAAAACGTTCTCTCCCAAGGGAGGCCGCCAGCTGTCTCATTGATTCAGCACTGCTCTTGGCTGATTCGGAGGCTACCCTGGCACCAGTTCCAGAGAGCACCGTATAATAAGGTACCACAATGCAAACTGTTACCAGGGAGAAACAGAACATCTGGTCTGGAACAAAGGCAAAGTCCATTGCTAAGAAGCAGCCTGGCCATCCGCGTCCAAGCGTGAATATGCCGGGGCCTGTCACCTGAAAGAGGGGGCCCCTGGAGCCAAGTAAGTGAAGATAAAATAAAAACCACAAGAAAAAAGAAATCCTGAGAGAGAAATAACACATTATTTTCTCATTGTGTTTGTCTAAATGTAAAATGATAGCATAAAATGGGATATTCTAAGAATGATTTTTCTTAATTTGATCAAAAACAATAGTAAGAACTGAAATTTTTAAAAACAGAAATCAGTCTATTTGTGTCTTTATCCTGTACGTGTGTGTTTAATGACTGAAGACTTCCTTCGCTATCCTGCTGTTGTAAGCAGAGCTAATGATTGACCTCTGTTCTATAGAAATAATTTAACTGCCAAGGACCTGTCGATGTGGGCAGTGAATCTGAGGACAGTGAGAAGCATGAGCGCACGGGATGCCTTCCACATGCCTTCTCCCGAGCCGCGCACCTTCACCCAGAACTTCAGCATCTGAGGCTGTCCGATGGTTTTACAAGCTATTGCTGTTGTTGTTGAAGTCTTAAATAACACCTTCAGAAAAGGAGCAGAATTTGACTTCCAACTGCTTTAAAATCCAGTTTTAAAAAAAAAAAAAAAGGCTTACCCTGTTGACAAAGCCCCTGTCAGGCTGAGAGTCATTATACTCTGCATAAGGTTTGTGTACTTCATTCCTTTCCAAAGCCATCTGTCTGAATTTAATTCACTGATAATTTTATCAGTCTCCCCATGCCTTGCCTGAAACCTCTCCATGGCATTTTTTATTCTTCACAGATGTTAACTCTTTGAATGACAGTTCCAACGCAGTTAGAATTTTGATTAAGATACACATTCTCTCTGAAGGATCTCTCTCAGATGTAACTCATTCCAATTGCCCCGCTGCACCAGCAGTTGTGCTTTCCAACAAAAGTTGTGCCTCTCCTGGGCAAAGCCAATCTTGATGCAAATCTGTATCCAGGACATTGCTACAGAAGCCACCTACAGAGCACCATCCCAGGCACACTCCATATCTATCATTTCAGATGTCTTTGTGGGCACTGGAAATCAGAATACATTTTATAGGGATAATTCCAACCTTCCTTCCTACCTAATTAGGGCATTTAAGATTATCTTTAAAAAATGCAGATGATTATAATGCATTTCTAATCATCAAATTTCAAAATCAGCTGTTTGAAGGAATTGTTTCATTTATTTTTTAAAAAAAGAACATTTAAATGCACTTTTATGTTGTACATTAGTAGTTTATCTCAAGTACATTATCTAACCATCTTGAGGATGGTTTATTTTTAGTTCCCAGATTAATTCGAGGAAAAGGTCTTTATACAGTTGATGTCACATTCTACTTTTAATTTTTGCCAAATAAGCATTTCTAAGCATCTTTGCTGAATAAGGTGTGATACTGGACACTGTGGGAAGTGGATAGGAAGGCTCACAAAATACCTACTTCCCAGGAGCTTGTAGTCTAACGTAGAAGATGAGACACAAAGCAGACTGTAACTGGTACAAAGTGCTACACAAACAAGCAAGAGAAAGATTTATTTAATCAGAAACAAAGATGCAGACTTCATAAAAGAGATCGATTTTTACTTGGGTCCTAAAAACTGGGTAGATTTTGAGGAGGAGAAATGAGAATGAGAAGGTATCTAGATACTGGGAACTCCATTCATAAGAGTATGGATGTGGGACAGCACAGAACAGGTTCTGGGAACACAAAGGGCACCAGTCAGACTAGATCAGAGCATGTATGAGGGAAGAACCCAGAGAAAAGGTAAGGTAGGGCTGTGATTTGGAGATGGAGAGTGTCATTGGTACCAAAGGTGTCTGAGCAAGAATAAGACCTAATATGAACTGCACTTTCAAAAGATAATGGCCATCCTCTGCAGGATGAATAAGGGAGAAAGATTAATAAGGCAGGGAAATTTTAGATGTGTTGTCATAAGGAGGCAAAGGAGGTCCAGGATTAAGGCAAGGGCAGTTGGAATGAAATTCAGGGAATCTGCTCAAACACTCCAACCAAACAGATGGTATAGATATATTCAAATCAAAAGAAAGGTGGGCCAAGCAAAGCAACCTTTCTAAAGTACTTTGCTGATTTGCCTCTTTCTAAGTTAACTGTTGGGTGCCCCAGGTATTGCCACCATTTCTCAAAGGAACCAATACAGCCCTTTCTGGAAGTATCTTCCTCAAACTTCGGATTTTTTTTTTTTTAACCCTGAGGGAGTGCACCTTCCCTAGTAGTATCATGACACCAGGTTGACAGGTTGATGCATAAAGTGTGCAGAGCAAGCTCCTATTCTATTGCCCTGCTGCATAAACCCATTAATATATTGTCCTGCAACAGAGGACATATCAGACATAAACTGATAAAAACAAATACTATACTTGATCTTAGCCAAAAGGCTAAGAAGCATTGGTGATTATTTTTTGGCTCTTAATTTAGCATTGATATTGCTTTCAGGACAGTTAGAAAGTTCCTGACACCCACTGTGTGATTATAGACTCAATTCTCACTGGAAGACACTATTCTAAAAGCCTGATACATGGACAAGAGAAAGGCCAAGAAAACAAGGCATTGACTCCCCAATCAACCAGTTCTAAATGGCATGACAGGAGGTAATGATGGAAAATGAGTAGAGTGCCCTAATTAAAATAATGTAGATACCATCCATGGATTAATATGTCAAAAATGAAGAATAAAAATGTATCGCTTAAAATTGGGGATGTTGATGATTTTATTGCCCCTCTGAGGGACAATATTATACAAGAACTGAAGATCCTAATCTCAGGACATGATTGTGTTAAATTTCACTAATCTCAAGGATAATGTGTGATACTAAAACAAGTCCCAGCCTAGAAAAACTGTGTGTATTTATTTATTTATTTAAAGATACAAGTGTTGTATTTTATTTTTCTCTCAAGTTCTTATTTAAATTCCAGCTACTCAAAATACAGTACAATATTAGTTTCAGACGTAGAATTTAGTGATTCATCACTTACATACAACACCCAGTGCTCATCACAAGTGACCTCATTACCCATCACCCATTTAACCAGTCTCCATCCCCAATCCCTACCACCACCACTTCCGCCCTCCAGTAACTATCAGTTTGTTCTCTACAGTTAAGAGTCTGTTACTTGGTTTGCCTCTCTTTTCCCCCCTATGTTCATTTGTTTTGCTTCTTAAATCCCACATATTAAAAAAAAAAACAAAAACAAAAAAACCCTGCATTTAGAGCAAAGTGTATAAATGCTTCCCAAAAAACAATGTAGGGGATAATCTGGCTTCATGTGGTATGGTAGGACTATCTAGTTATTCACCAAAATCCATTCTCCTTTTTCCTGAGGACACAGCAAGACTTTATTTCCTGGCCTTGCAATGGATTCTACAACTTACTTGCCCAATTGAAAGTGATCACAAATGATGTTCCCCACTTAGAAGCCTGAGAAGCTTTTAGCTTGATCCTCCATTTTCTCATTTTTATTTTCTTTTTTTTTTTTTTTTTTTCTTTTTTTTTTTAATTTATTTATTTATGATAGTCACACACAGAGAGAGAGAGGCAGAGACACAGGCAGAGGGAGAAGCAGGCTCCATGCACCGGGAGCCCGATATGGGATTCGATCCCGGGTCTCCAGGATCGCGCCCTGAGCCAAAGGCAGGCGCCAAACCGCTGCGCCACTCAGGGATCCTCATTTTTATTTTCTAACAAAAGTAGAAGGGCAGTTGGAATGAAGTAGAGGAACAGAGAACTCCAAGTCCCCAGGGAATGATGGGGCCACATGAAGGAAGGACTGTGTGAGGCAGACATTTCCAACAACCCATTCTGGAATGTGTTAGGAATGAGAATACTTTCATAAATTATGACTGTGTTTAGCCACTAATATTTTGGGGTTGTTTGGAACATCAATTAGCCTGCTCTGACTGATTAATGTATAATACATTAAAGGCTTTAGAGTCAGACAAACTTAAGCCTTTGTTTCAGGTCTGTCACTTCACTAGCTCTGGAAACTTAAGCAAGTTATTTAATCTCCAAGTACCTCAGTTCCCTTATTAGTGGAACAGGGAAAATAGTGCTTCTGTGAACATAAAGTAAAATAAAATGTATGTAAATCTACTGGCACAGTCCCTGGAAATAGAATGTATACAGTATAATATAGCTATTATCATTGGGGAAGAGAAGGCATCATTTGTACGGTCTTATTAGCCAGCGTTTAAATGGCCTTGGAGAATGGAATAAGAAGGTAGACCTATCAGAAATGTTCCTCTGTAGTATTTTCTAGAGAAGACAACTACAATTTTATCTTTATCTATTATTAAAGAATTACTTCTGGTTAAAATAATATTTTGTTAATCTCAAGGAATGATAAGGAAACCTAAGATTTAGAGCTGAGATTCAAATTCCAGTATGAAATATCTACCTCTGACCATGATTAAATGACTGGTATGGGAAATATTCTCATTCCAAACTATAAAAATGTACAAGATATATAAGGCAATAGTTGTCAAACACTGGGCGATGAATTATACAGGGCTTTGATCCTTGACAGAGGGAAACATGTAGGGTGAGCTTCATGTTGACCCCATATTTCCATTTAGGTCATTTTCTGTACTTTAGAAAGTGGCAGACTCATTAGAGAAGACAAAGTTGGAAATTAGGATTGCTTAAGAAGCTAAAATTTAAAGAGAAAGGTACCTGAGATGGGAAAGATGCAAAAAGTGGGGTCCTAGAACTCTGCATGGAGGTGCCCTTCATGACTTTGGCTAAGCACTGGACTGTACTTGTGCTGGGTGAAACTCAGTGAGTCCATCCAGAGAACAGCTGCTATAAAATGATTCCTAAAAAAGATACCAGAGATTATAAAGTGCTGGGAGATTCTGGAGTTCTACTCCATCGGAGTGGAATAAAGAGACTTTACTTAGTATTTTGGGCATTTAGTTAAGGCTATAGAAAGGCACACATTAGAAATAAGGACTATGCCCTAGAATAAGGGATATGCTCTAAGGGGGAGGAAAAAAAAACTGCAAAAGATCCTTTCTAACAAGATCTAAAACATCTACAATAGGGTTTCTCATCCTCAGCATTATTGAAATATTGGATCAGATTGTTCTTTGTCATGGTGTGCTTTATTTGTGAATTGTAAAATGTTCAGCAGCATTCCTAATCTTTACCCACCATATGCCACTATCACCTCCAAGTGTGACAACCAAAAATATCTCTATATACACATTGCCAAAAGGGGGAAATTACTCCTGATTGAGAGCCACTACTCTACAAGATCTAAGTGATCACTTTGAATTGTCAACCAGAAAAACTCAAAATTCTGTAAAGAAAACATCATAATCCAAAAATTATGTCTCACCCATAATATTCAGTATACATTTTTAAAAACTGATGCACATGCAATTAAAAATGTATGACCTAAAGTAAAAAAAAAAGATTCAATAAAAATAGTCCCCCAGAATGATGTGGGTGCTGATATTATCAGAGAAGTACTCTTAAAGTACTATTATAAACATATTCAAAGATTTAAAGGAAATGATGAATAGAATGAGTGAATAGAGAATATCACTATAGACATTAAAACTATAAAAAAGGAGGGAGGGGCAAGATGGCGGAAGAACAGGGTCCCCAAATCGCCTGTCCCCACCAAATTACCTAGATAACCTTCAAACAATCCTGAAAATCTACGAATTCGGCCTGAGATGTAAAGAGAGACCAGCTGGAATGCTACAGTGAGAAGAGTCCGCGCTTCTATCAAGGTAGGAAGACGGGGAAAAAGAAATAAAGGAACAAAAGGCCTCCGAGGGGGAGGGGCCCCGCGAGGAGCCGGGCTGAGGCCGGGGCGAGTGTCCCCAGGACAGGAGAGCCCCGTCCCGGAGGAGCAGGAGCTGCACCAACCTTCCCGGGCGGGCGGAAAGGGGCTCGCAGGGAGTTGGAGCAGGACCCAGGAGGGCGGGGATGCCCTCGGGCTCCCGGGGACACTAACAGACACCTGCGAGCGCAGGGAGAGTGCTCCGAGCTCCCTAAGGGCTGCAGCGCGCACGGCGGGACCACCGGAGCAGCTCGGAGGGGCTCGGGCGGCGGCTCCGCGGAGGGGGCTGCGGGGCGGGAGCGCGAATCCACAGCGCAGGCCCCGGAGCACAGGGCGCCGGGACACAGCCCAGGATCCGGCCTCCCCCGGGACAGGCAGAGGCCGGGAGGGCCCAGGACAGCGAGGACGCTCCTGCCCCGAGCTGAGCAGATCAGCGGCCCCGCCCCGGAGCCTCCAGGCCCTGCGGACGGAGAACCGAGAGCCCCGAGCCCCGTAGTTCCTGCGGAGGCTGAATCCAGGCTTCCAGAGTTGCCATAGCAACTGCGGCTGTTCCTCCTGGGGCCCTGACGGGGTAAACAACCCCCGCTGAGCCCTGCAGCAGGCAGGGGCAGAGCAGCTCCCCCAAGTGCTAACACCTGAAAATCAGCACAGCAGGCCCCTCCCCCAGAAGACCAGCTGGACGGACCAGTGATACTCCCCCGTGTTCCAATACAACTTGTTTTTGGCCACTCTGCACTGAGCAAAATGACTAGAAGGAAAACCTCACCTCAAAAGAAAGAATCAGAAACAGCCCTCTCTCCCACAGAGTTACAAAATCTGGATTACACTTCAATGTCAGAAAGCCAATTCAGAAGCACTATTCTACAGCTACTGGTGGCTCTAGAAAAAAGCATTAAGGCCTCACGAGACTTCATGACTGCAGAATTTAGATCCAATCAGGCAGAAATTAAAAATCAATTGAATGAGATGCAATCCAAACTAGAAGTCCTAACGACGAGGGTTAACGAGGTGGAAGAACGAGTGAGTGACATAGAAGACAAGTTAATGGCAAAGAGGGAAACTGAGGAAAAAAGAGACAATCAATTAAGGGACCATGAAGACAGATTAAGGCAAATAAATGACAGTCTAAGGAAGAAAAACCTACGTTTAATTGGGGTTCCCGAGGGCGCCGAAAGGGACAGAGGGCCAGAATATGTATTTGAACAAATCCTAGCTGAAAACTTTCCCAATCTGGGAAGGGAAACAGGCATTCAGATCCAGGAAATAGAGAGATCCCCCCTAAAATCAATAAAAACCGTTCAACACCTCGACATCTAATAGTGAAGCTTGCAAATTCCAAAGATAAAGAGAAGATCCTTAAAGCAGCAAGAGACAAGAAGTCCCTGACTTTCATGGGGAGGAATATTAGGGTAACAGCAGACCTCTCCACAGAGACCTGGCAGGCCAGAAAGGGCTGGCAGGATATATTCAGGGTCCTAAATGAGAAGAACATGCAACCAAGAATACTTTATCCAGCAAGGCTCTCATTCAAAATGGAAGGAGAGATAAAGAGCTTCCAAGACAGGCAGGAACTGAAAGAATATGTGACCTCCAAACCAGCT